AGCTGTGCTGTGCCTTTGGGCAGAGCCTGTGCAGGGCTCCAGCACAGGGCAGCTCCCCACCCCCCAAACCCTCTGCTCTCCTATTAACGCCAATAGGATGAGCTCAGGCTGTTCTGACACCAAGAGCAAAATCAAAAATGCAGGAGGACACAAAAATGCAGCTTCGGGATGGGGAAAAAGCAAACAGAGGGCACAAGCACTTGGTCACAGCAGTGCTTCTGTCACAAGTGCACATGGCACAGCAGCAAGAAGGGAGCACAGCTTCACAAGGCAAGCACAACATCCAGCCAAATGGAAAAGTGAGGAACGCAAGAGGGGATGCAGGTGCATGGAGCCCACACCTGGATTTTGCACTGCTTCAGGATGGGCTCAGCTCCCACTGCGAATCCCAAGTCCAGGAGGTGTTTTGAGCCCCAGACCCCATCCCCACTCACGCAAGGGAGTGATTTCACAGCACCACATGAAAAGTTGAATTCTGAGCCAAGAGCTGCAACTACAGCTCAGCAAAACCCCAAGCACGAGTTTGCAGAGAGCAGAGCACGTTGTGAGCACTGCAGCAGCGGGGGCTGCTCCACCATCCCACCAGCAAAGCAGCTGCTGGGCACCGAGCACTGCAAGCACCAGCTGTGGGTTTTTTTGCTGAGAAAATTTCTTCTTTAAAAGCTAGCAGGAATTTTAGAGTTATCCTGGCAACCAAAACGGACACTGAGTTGCAGAGGGATTTGGGCCATCGTTATGCTCTGAACTCGCAGTGCTCCAGGACTTCAGCCCCACGTTCAGCAGCTTCTCTGGGGTGAGGAGCGCTGGGACAGCTCACAAAGTGGGACAACATCTGTCGGTGCCCCAGTGCCACCTTCACCAACCAACACTTCCCACTCAGTTCCCTTCTCAATTCATGAGACAAGAGTTTAACTGAAGCGTTTCCAAACGGGTGCCTTACTGAAGTGAAGCACTTATGCAAGATTCCTTTAGGTGCCTGTTAAATATATACATGTGTGACGTATGGAGATGCACATGGAGGTGCATTACGCCACTGCCCAAACAATTACCAACAATGTAAATAATCAGCTGATTCGCCCTACAGCACGGCTGTCCATCGCACCTCAAACGCAGATGGCGACCCTCAGGGCTGAGCCTTGGGCGTTATTTGCTCTAAAGACACTTCGGAGGGTGGGATCGGGGTGGGCTGCCCCAGCGACCCCTACAGGTTCCCGGGTATCACCTCCCGACCCCGGGGTTCTCAGACCTGGTCATCGCAACGCCCTCGATCCACGATTTGGAAAACATCCTCTAGGAAGTTCTCACTTCAACTTCGCCGTCCCCGTCCCGAGCTGCGGGGTTCGCGTCTTTCCGTGCGGCTGGGAGCGGAGCCGCCCCGCAGCCCCATCCCTCCGTCCCGCATCTCCGCGCCCATCTCAGCCCCACGGACCCGAAGGGGCAGCGCTGTTCCTCCACCCCCCAGAGCAGAGCGGCCCTTACGTCCTCTTGAAGACCCCTCCGAGGCAGCTGCCGAGCAGGAGGCAGAACTGCTGCGAGAAGAACACCCAGGTGATCTGCGAGAGCGAGCTCTGCGTCTGGCAACGGAGGTCCAGCAGCGTGGGCCCCAGAAAGGCGATGCAGAGGCCGAAGCTAAAGAAGACGCTCCAGTAGGTGAGGGTGGGCTGCAGGTTCCTCCGGAACCGAGCCGATACCCGCTCGTCCCACCACATCCTGGGCGGCGGCGCGGGGCGGCCCGCGGAGATGCGGCTCCCGCACCGCCCGGCCCCGCTCCCAGCCCGGCCCCGCCGCCGCCCCGCTCCCCGCTCCTCCTCTCCGGGCTGTGGCTCCGAAGCCCGCCGGCCGCTGACTCCGCCTCCGGGACCGGGGACCGCCGCCGCCTCCCGGGGCCGGGCGGAGCCTTCCTCCGGCGGGCGGTGCGGTACGGAACCCACGAAGCCCACCCGGAGCCCCCCGAGACTTCAGCGCATCCCCGTGGGGGGGAAAGAACCGTCCGAACCGCCACCTCCAGCATCACCTCGAGGTGGGGTGGAGCAGCATCTCACCCAGAAAGAGGCGGGCAGCTCCCACTGCTCGCTCCGAGCTTCACTGCTCAGACTGCATCCATCACAACAGAAAGCAAAGCAGCAGCTGAACCCCTTGTTCTGCTTCCTGAGCGCCTTAAATAAAGACAAACCGCTCCAGACAAATGCAATTAAAGGTGCCTGTGCCCCTCCTGTGGATAAGAAGGGTGAGATGGGCTGTGGGAGTGTGTGCATTTTGGAGCTGGAGCGGCTGATGCTTACGCAAAAGGTCTCCTCTAGAGGCTGAGATTATAAATATTTCACCTACTTTAGGGAAGGACTGCAATTTTTAGATTGCTCTTTCCAGGCAAAGCAGAATCGCTGGAGCTGAGCTGTGGGTAGAGCTGCTCCAGTGCCAGAACCCCACAGCTGTTACCACCCTGTGACCCACATTTCAGGAATGTTGCTCTGGGTCACAGGTGCTCATTTCCACCTGGACATAGCTTAATGTTTAGCTAATCCAAATTGCATCCTAGTCCCAGTTCTGCCACCTCCATGGCATCTGCAGGTGACCTCCCAGGGTAAGGAGGGCAGCCACTGAGCGTGGGCAGCACCACAGAGCAGGTGGGGGATGGAGCCCTGATTTCATCCGTGGGTGCCCAGCAGCAACCAAGCAGCCACAGAGCAGCTCAGCTGCCAGAGGTGGAGACATGCTGTTAAGTGGTTCACCAGTGGGAAAACTGAAGGCTCACTGGGCATGGGGCTGGAGGGGTCTATGTGGAACTGCTCAGTATGGAATAAGATATTTAAAGTATCCCCTCAAGTTCAGTAGGAGGGCTTGGGAGCATTCTGGTTTTACAGCACCTGAAATGACCACATCCCTCCTGCTGGCAGCAACCACTCTGATTTGGAGAGCTCTGTTTTCTTGCTTCCAGGTGGCAAGCAAGAAGGTGAGCCTGTTATGGATGGTCAGACCCAGCATCTTCAGCAAAGATCGATTCTGGTGTACCAGATGGGCAGGAGACCCATGGTCTGCTCCTGCCTTCATTGCTGGCTCACCGTAACCCAACAGCATCAGCTCTTTGGGCTTTGTGTTGTGACAGAGCTCAGCAGTTCCCACACCTGGGCAAAGCCATTGCACCCCAACCCCATGGCAGCACAACCCCATGGCAGCCCCCAGCCCTGCTTTGCAGAGCAATGCCATACAGGCCGGTTCCAGGAATATCAAGCCATTCCATCAGGGCTAACACAAACCATGCAAGATCTGCTTGCAAATAAAAAATGCAGCGTGGGTGGGTTTGTCAGCACAAGAACGCACAGATCCTTCCACAGATCCACAGAGGGAGCTCATAAAAATGCAAGCTGTGGGGCTCTGAGTGTGTGCGACCAGAATTAGCTTTGTGAAGAGGCATTTTGGGCTGTTTTCCAAACTGAAGCCAATGTTGTGCTTGCAATGAATTAAACACCCTCCTCTCTGCAAAGTGCAGAGTGAATGAGTGAACTGCTGAGCAGCAGCGTCTCCAAGCTGGTGCTGCTCAAAGGGATGCGAGCAGGGTTTGAGGAATGCTTTTTGCTTCCTGTGTGCTCACACATTCTTCCCCATTTTTCTCATCAAATCACCTGGTTCTGTTTGGCCAGTGGAGTAATTGCTTCTTTGCTTTGGTCTGTTCTGCTTTGGTGTGACTGCTCCCTAAGGAAGGCTTTGCTCGTGTTAGCTGTTGTGTTGGTATTACTTCTATTCTACACCCTGGAAGTGTTTAAGGACAGGTTGGACGGGGCCCTGGTATTAAATGTGGAGGTTGACGGCCCTGCCTGTGGCAGGAGGGTTGGAGATTCATGATCCTTGGGTCCCTTCCAACCCATTCTGTGATTCTATTAGGATGCTCTGGGATGAAGCATTGCAGGGACAACACGAGGAGGTGCTCAGCCCATGCACAGCACAGCCAGCAGTGCCAGCACAGTGCAAGGCAGAGCAGCTGGCACTGCTGTGAGGTCAGGCACACTGCAGAGCTCTTGGTGCAGTGCAGACACGTGTCGGGGAGGAGGAAGCGCTCCGTGTTTTCCTACCAACTGAAATCACCCCACACACCCAGTCCAGTCGGGCTGGGATCAGCAGGGCTTCCTCCTGCACTGTGCCAACGCAGTACAGAGCCCTTCTGGGTCACACCTGGGAACGTTGAGAGCCCCAAAAGAGCCGTGGTGCAGCCGGAGAGGGGCTCACACAAGGCTGCAGGGCACGAGGATGCCCTATGGGATGAGTTGGTGCCATCCGGGTGCATCCGGCTGTGGCGTGCCTATGGGTGGAGGATGTGGCTGAGGCTGCTTGGCTGCATTCCCCAGTGCTATGGGATGAGGGAGGAGCAAACCCTGTGCTGCCCGGCCCCGCTGTGACTCAGGCAGATGGGTGCTGCTTTAGGGGCAGCCCAGGGACCGCAGCCCCAAAGCTCCCCCATTTCAGGCCCTTCCCACATCTCCCCAGTGGCTGTAGGGCCACAGAGCAGTGATACCTACAGGGGATTGCCACGCTGAATAGCCCCAATCCCAGGGACTTTCAGGTGCCAAAGCACTGGGGAACAGCACTCCCTCATCCATGCCCTGGCATTGCCCTTGAGTCACTTTGCAACCTTGGGCCGGGCGCAGTTGAGCTCTTTTATCAGCCTGATTAACTTATGGCAATATTTGTTCAGGGCTTTAGGATCCACGTAAGGGACTGCAGGAACACGTTCCCATTGTGCTCCAGCTCCTCCGGCGCTCGGTTTTGGCCTTCTTAAAGGTCACAGGGAAGGAAACTCACTCTGGGTCAACACAGAGCCTTCTCCTCCCAAACAGAAGAGAGCAAAATCACATCGCATCCAAACACCCCACAGGCAACACAGCTCATTGCCCAGTTTTGGCTGCGGAGCGCTCACAGCACGGCTGTAACAGAAGCACAGCCTCAGGATGGCCCATGCCACAGCTGACGTGCAACGACTGAAGTCTTTGTATGAAACACACACGTGGTTGATCGATGGGCGCAGCCTTTTATTCCTTTTTGCTTTGCACCTTTCCATTTATTCCAGAAAAAAAAAAAAAACTTCTTCCTCTCTTTCTATATATATACATATAAAACAAACAAACAAATTGCTTTTGTTTTTGAATAAACCTTTTAAAAACACTCCTTTTAAAACACATCTTCCATTCATCCAACGGCCATCGGGATCCTGCGCACGGCGCACACCAGGGGATGCTCACAGTGGGAACCTGAGCACTCTGGGACACGTTTTTCCTGCTGCAGGACACGGGGCTGAAGCTGTTCCTGTGATGCATCCCACCTGTACTGCAGTGAGGGGTGCTGCCTTCAATTCTGACTGATGGAAACACAAAACCACAGCAGGAGCGGCGCGCAGACCGGAGCTGCTGAGTGCACAAAGCAATGCAGCCTTTCCCCAGTGTGCAGGCAGAACTGGTAGGAAAAAATAAAAAAAAAAAATGCAAGAAAATAATGCCTGGAAGACAAAACAACAGCTCCCAAACCACGCTGGGTGCCACAAAATGGAAAAGAAAATAAATTCCAGAAAGCCACAGACATTTGCAGTGTTTTCATCAGCGCTGCTTTGAGCAGCTGGTGCTCCAGCACTGGGCAGAGCTGGGAGCTCACTGCGTGTCTCCATCCCCAGCACTGGGGGGTTGCAGTCCTCAGGAACCCATATGGATCTCGTACTCCTGTGGGATGCTGATCTGGACCCATATGGAGCCTGCAACGTGGTGGGATGCTGACCTAAACCCATACAGACCCCATACCCTCATGGGATGCTGACCCTGTGCAGGGGGGGACTTTGCTGACCTCCCTCTCTCGGCATCGGGACGCACAGCAGCAGTGCACACATCACAGCTTGCTCAACGGGGCACCAAATATTTATGCACTTTATCACCCTCCTGAATAGGAATCCAATACCCATGAAAAGCAGCAGAACAAAAGGGGTTATCTGAAACGCAGCCTGCTGGTCATGCACGGGGCAAATAAATAATAGTGCCTCCACACAAAGATCTCCTGTCTTGGAGAAGGAAAGGCAAAGGCTGTGAAAGAGCAAACAGCAGCCAGCAGACTCTTTGTCTTCCTTATCTGATTGCAGATAAAGCAGAGCTGTCTGCGTGCTCACTGTTCCGTGGGTCACCTTGCTGCACCCTGGAGATGTCTGCCTCATGGGGACACTGGTTCCCAATGGGGACATTGGTTCCCAAGGGTTCTGCCAAGCAGCAGTGAGCAGAGCCCCGTGTCCCACAGCTCTGCCTTGCCCTCCCATTGAAGGATCAGCAAAGCTTCCTGTGCCCTGGCACGCTTTGTGCCCATGACAGCCTCAGGGCACGGGGCTGGTAAAGCCAGAACAGGTTATGCACGTCCTGTCGTGGCTTCCCAAGAGCAGGACTTGCCCAGATCCGTGCCCTCGGTGCCTTGGGAAGCACCACAGATCCCTATCGTGCCCAGAAAAATCCCAATGTAAACACCTTAATGAAAGGAAAGGTGACAACGTGAGCTCAGCGCTTCCTTTTGTAAACCCCACTGCTGAAAAGCCCTGTGCAGCCCAAGCAGGGTGCAGGGAACCAGGCGCAGCCCAACCCTCACATCAGAGCGTCACTGGTGGCTGATGGCTCTTCGTGCTCTTCCCTATCAAATGGAAACAATTAATGAACTATTCAGCCTGCTGTATGCTGGACATACTGAGAAAGGAACCGAGCAGGGATGGGCAAACCTCAAACAATGCAGACGTCTGGATGCTTGTCTAGGACAAACCCAAGTTAACAGCTTTGGGCTGACAGGAGGAGCGCAGAGTGCGGTGCACTGAGCGCTGGAGAACCCTGGGCTCTCCTCCTTTTCTCCTCCAGCTTTGCATTTGCAGGGGGAAAACAGAGTTCCAATTCCTCTCCACGGAGAAACAGCGGTGTGGGCACAGTTAGTGTCCCCTGAGCACTGCTTGTCCTGGGATGCTGGCAGGTTGGGACATCGGCACATCCTCCATCGAGTGCTTTGGCAAGGTCCAGTTAAAATGCCTCAGGAGCAGCCCTTGGCAGCACAGTGTGCCCCTCGGTCCTGCGGCGTGGGTCTGAGCCAGGGCTGCTTGGTGTGATGTTGGCTACACGTGGGGAGGGCTGGTTTGCTGTTCTGTGGCTCTATTTCTGGTCCCTGCAGCTGAGCTGGGGAGGTTTGGCACCTCTCCCTCGTCCTCCAGGTGGGGAATGCACTGCGGTGAGTGCGAAGCATTGGGGTGCAGTGATGCTGCAGGGCTCTGTTCAGCTGCAGGCTCCTGTGAACAGCCGGGAATCACTCTGGGAATCACATCCCACGTCTTGTGATGGCATCAGAACTGGGGAACACAACGGTGGCAAGAAGAGGGGATGGTGAGTGAGGTCGCTCCGCCCTCATCAGGATTCAGGTACCAACAATGGGCAGAGATGAAGGTGTTACAGAGGCAGAAGCAATGGCACAGCAGGGAGGGTTGCCCCAGGGCTGGTGCTCCAGCAGCAGTCCTCTGGTGCCAGGCTGGGGGATGCCCAGCTCTCAGTGGGATGGGGCTGCACGCAGGCTGTCTGAGCAGTGGGATGTTGCCTGCCTGGGCTGAATGCAATGCAGCCACAGCTCCTGCTTCACAGACCCCAACCTGTGCTCTCACAGCCTCCCTGCACCCAGCTCAACCCCACAGGCAGCGAGCAGCTCCCCCAGCGCAGGGCAGGACCCCGCTCCTAGGAGGGTTGTGCAGCAGCTGCACAAGGGGTGGCAGCTGATAGGAACAACATGAGAACGAGAGGGGAAAAAGGCCACAGGTCCATTGCCACCAGCTGCTGGGGGATGTGGGGAGAGCCATCAGCTCCGTCCTGCTGGGCTGAGCGACGCGGTGGGGCGGGTAGGAGCGCACCGCTGTCTCCTTTCTCAGTGCACTGATCTCCATGGTGACAAAGGGAACATGAGGTCCGGGTTTAAAATATACTCTGCCTCCTGTTCTTCCCTCGGGCTGAGGAAGAGAGAGAGAGATGGGTCAGATAGGTGAGACAGGGACTGAAGCACGGGGCAGGTCCGAATTTTCCCTGTGTGGGTACCCAGAGGTGCCAGCAGGATCCATGGCACCACACAGAGAGCACGCTGCCCCCATCCTACCTGACTGCTGAAACGCTGAGCCTCGGTAGCCAGGGTCCTTCTGAAGTTGGATCTCCTTCAGAGAGAAGATGGAGACATCTGGGAGAGCAGACAGAGAACCAGGTCAGTTGGCCGAGCCACCGCCAGCAGGGATGGCAGCGCAGCACTGCGTTCCTCTTGCTCTACACCAGCCTGCCCCAAGTTTTTCCTTGCTCTCCCCCCCACCCTGCTGCAGGAGCCCTCAAGCAAAGGCAAGCAGCAACCACAGAGCTGGCTGTGCCCTCTGTAGTGCTGCTCCATGCCCCCAGGTGAAGGGGCCATGCACACTTACTGTCAGGCAGGACGTGCACCCGCTCCCCCAGGCTTTTGAAGTAGGGATGCCGCAGGGCCACCTCTGCTGAAATCCGGCTCTTGGCTTCATACTGCACAAAGGCCCAGAGAAAGGCAATTATGCAGTTTGCAGTGCCTGCTCACACCAAAGTGCACAGCTGGGACCCCATCAGTGGGTTTGGGCCAGCAGCTGTGTGGATAGGGCTTATGCTGCAGTCACAGCCCCTCTCCCTGCCCCCAAAATCAGGGTGAGCGCAATGCACCCCTCTGCCATCCACCAGCACCTCGCTGTTGCTTACCAGGAGGAGGTTCATCAGCAAGTCAATGCCATCCGAGTCCAACCTGAGAAAAGAAAGAAATACAAACTGGAGCACTGTCACACCTGGGGGCCGTTGCAATCATCAACAAAAGGCAAAGGTGTGCAGAGAACTGGGACCTCCCCCACACAGCTGTGCTCAGCATCACATCCAGCAGATGAACCCAGTGCCCCTGGCTCCCATTTCGGAGCAGTGCCAGGCTGCCCTATGTCTCCGGATCTGTGCTGGGGGGCGAGGGGAGGGAGGGAGGATACCTCGGGGCGTGATTGATTAACGGCTGCGCTCGGTACTGCGTGAAGTTGTACGCCCTGAACTCCTCGTTGGACGTTATCCCCGGCCAGGTATCTTCTGTCGGCGTTCCTGGGAGGGAGGGAGGGAGAGGGGGGAAGAGGAACGTGGTCACCGGCTGCGGGAACAACAGCTTCACCATCCCAGCGCTGCTCCTTATTGGGGATACACGCGGCAACGCCGCGCTCAGCGCTCGGTCCCGGAGCGCAGCGCTCTGCTTTGTCACCGCTGCCCTCCCGCGGGCGCTCGGGGCACGGCAGCACGCTCACCCAACAGCCGGAAGATGAGATGCAACTCCTCCTTCACCGTAGAGCCGGGGAACATGGGCCGTCCGGTGACCATCTCGTAGTGGATGCATCCCACGCCCCTACGGCAGCGGTGGAAAAGCGGCATCAGAGAAAGGGGAAAGTCGTGGGACGCACCACCCCCCGCGGCAGGGCAGGGGGAAATGGGCTCCAGGATGCGGATCTGTGCCCGTCCACCCGGCTCTGAAGAGATGGAACCGCAGAGGACACAGAGAACAAGCCGTGGAGAACCCGGCGCCCACGGTGTGAGCAGCGCCATCCCATGGGATGGACGGGAACCCCAACCCACCGCCCCGCTCAGCCTCACCACATGTCGATGGGGGTGGAATACTCGGTAGATCCCAGCAGGACGTCGGGGGGTCGGTACCACAGAGTGACCACCTCGTTGGAATACGTTTTGGTAGGCACCGACTTGGCTCTGGCGAGGCCTGGAGGTGGAGGGAGGGATGTGAAGCTGCACCTTCCTGCAGTGCTGCATCCTCCCCAGGGCAGAGGCTCAGGGATGGGACAGCACTGCGCAGAGATGCTCTCAATCGGGTAGAAAACAGCCATGCAACCCCAGCACATTAAAAATCACTGCTGGAGAACTATGTCCCAGGCTGCTTATGGGGTCCCCCTCCCCGCCCCAAGGGCAGCTAAGCCCTTGTGTTTGCCCAATGGGACCATGAGTGCTCTGCCCTCCCCACCCCACGTACCAAAGTCGGCCAGTTTAAGCTCCCCTCTCTCGTTGATGAGCAGGTTCTGAGGTTTGAGGTCTCGGTGTAGGATCTTCCTCCCGTGACAGTAGGACAGGCCACGCAGCAGCTGGAACATGAAGATCTGGGGGGGGGCACAGGGGGTGGGCAGTGGGCACCACGATGCTGTCTTAAGAACACAGGGCCAGGGGAGACCCCACAAAGCCGGGGACGCCCATAGGGACGGCCAGGCCCGACTCACCTTCACATTGTGCACGCTCATCAGGTTCCCACAGTTATCCAGGTACTGCTTGAGGTCGTTTTCCTGCAACGAGGAGCATCCATCAGCCTTCAGTTCCCTCCCTCCCCTGTCCCCAGTCAGAACCCCAGCATCTCACCAACGCACCAGGTACTCGAAGACCAGCGTGAGGGAGCGCTCCGTGTGGATGATGTCATGCAGGGTCACGATGTTGGCGTGCTTGAGGTTCTTCAGCAGTGACACTGCAGGGACAGGAGGCAGCAGGTTGGGACATCCCCAAGGGCTGGGGGCAGGAAAAGCCTCTCCCCCTCTCCCCATCCCCCCCAAGGCCTCACCTTCCCGGATAGCGGTGCATGGAGCCCCTTCCTCGTGCTCCAGGCGGATCTCCTTCAGTGCCACCAGGTTTTCTGTCAGCTTGCTGCGTCCCTTGAAGACAGTGGCATAAGTGCCCTGCAGGGAGAGAGAGGACATGAGGGGTGAGCGGGTGGCTGCCCCGTTGTGGGGGTGGCACAACAGGGATGTGCTCTGTAACATCTGCAGGAAGGGTCATTGGAAGCTAAAGGGCCGGAGCCCATGATTTCCATTCTGTGATTTATGGTAATCCTTCCAACTTCCTTTGAATCCTCGCTGGGGTCTCAGCACCTCCTTACCTCTCCCAATTTGTCCAGCTTAACATAGGTCTCCAGCTTCCCAAACCCGATATCCGACTGCAAGAGAAAAAGGACAACATCACTGGGACGGATCTCACCAGTGTTGGGCTGGATGGAGAACAGCAGGAGGGGATTGTTATGGGGACAATCCATCACGTCCTGCACGGATCCTGTGCACACCCATCAGAACACCATAGCAGCCAACTGCAGCAGCTGATGCCCTTTGTGTCAGAGCAGCATGATGGGACCCTGTGGCAAAGCCCTGCCCTTTTCTTGAGTGCTTCCCTACATGCTGCCCTTTGCTGCAACTCCCTTTGCTTCTGTGTGCTCCTCCAGTCAAGTGTGAAAGAGACATTTCCCCGTTTGGAACTGGGACTCATTGCTCTATTGCTGAGACCTGCTTGTCTGTACCCAGTGATGGGCAACAACTGCAAGGCCCTCCTAGCAGATCCCTCACACTGCAGCTCTGCAGGGACACCGCCTCGGTCACTTGGGGTCACTCACATCCCATGGCAGCAGCACTGAAGGACCCAAAGCCAGCAGGCAAACTGCAGCTCCTGCCATTCTCTCCTCTCCTCCCTCCTCACAAACAGGAGTGCCACATCTGAAGGTGCTGCTGAGACCTCACCACCGTAACCGTGTGTACTCCCAGGCAGCAGGATGTGTGCCTTTGCAATTTGCAAACAGGGCACTGTGTTTTTGCTCCTACATATGCTGATGCTCTGCAGTCAAGAAACTGAAACGTCAGCATTAATGCAAGGGGTAATTCATTATTTATCCACATTTGCATTTCCATCAGCAGAGGCTCCAGCACTTGCAGCACCGTGGGAGGTTCCCCACCTCCTCTTCCCTGGAAGGTGAAGGGCTGGGAGAGAAGCCAGGTGTGTGCAAGGTGAGCAATATGCAGGCTGGGGATTTGCAAATGTAGGAGTAGCACGGGGAAAGGTGCATGTGTGCACGTGCACAGGTGTGTGTATGCACAGGGAATGAGCGTGCAGAAAGGGATTTGCACTGTGTGTGTCTCAGAGCAAGGGAGCTTGCTCAGAGGGAAGCAATGGCTGGGTGGCAATCAGCACACGCACCTCGTATGCACAAAGCAAGATGCTGTGCTGTGACTTACAAGGGATGCCCGCCGTGACATCCTGCTGAGCGGCTTGGGGAACTCTGGGCTCTCCATCTGCAGCTTCTGCAGGAACTCGGGGGGCAGCCGGATGTCCATGGGCAGGGAGAGGCGTTTGCTGACATCCTGCAGAGGGGGAAGGTGAGGAGAACACTCAGGGAAAGGAAGAGTGATGACGGCAATGGGGCAGCAACCGGGGTGACGCCCGCGGGACCTTCGCCCCAGCACTTGCCTCTGTGGAGAAGCGGCGCTGGGTGCTGCTGCGGTAACGCACGGCCATGGGGGATGGACCCTCTGTGTCGGGTGAGGAGATGGCCGTGGGGTCTGCTCCGATGTCCCTGCCCAGGTGTCCCAGCTGCAAGTGCCCTTGGGCCAGGTCTGAAGACAAAGAGAAAGAAGGGAGAGCTGCTGGGAGGCAGCAGAGGTGCGGAACGCTTTGCTTTGGGGAACAGGGAGAGAGAAGAGCAGGGAGGTCCAGAGATGCTCCAGGGCCATGAGGAAGTCCCTTCCCATCCTCCTCCACTGCTGCACTCAGCCACACACAGCAACACAGAAGCTCCCTTGAAAACCAAAGCGGCTTCTGAAAGTCACTCTTCTCATGGGACTCCACGTGTGAAGCCACATCAAGCCCAAGGAACCCAGAAAGGAGCAAAAAAAACCCAACCAAACAGAGTAAAGTGAGGCACTGAGCTCCCCCTGGTCTACAGCTTGAGGCTCACACGTCTTCCCACTGGGTAATTAATGGCTGATTGGTTGGAAGTGCATTTCCCCCATTCACAAGGGGCTGCTTTCAGAGGGGCCGTTTGAGAGGAGGCAGAGCTAACTGGGAGTGCTGGAATGAAGGCCATCCTTCTCTGTATCTAATGCAGATTTGGGCTTCCATTCCCCGCGTGCTCTGCAGCCAGAGATGATCTCATTGCTGAGGATGGAAGGGGATGGCTGGCTTTTGCAAGAGGGCTGGGATCTGGCTGCTCATCGCTCATCTGATGGATGAGAGGTGACAGGCAAGTGACCTGAGAAAAAATGCAGTTTCCTGCCACAGTCACTGTATGCAAGGGGATCTGTGAGCTAAGGGATATGGGGTGTCCTCTACAGAGAGCCCATGCCCATAGCAGGGGTGCAGCCCATGCCAATGGGGCTGATAGCAGCTGAAATCATGCCAGGAGGTTCTGGAGGGCTGGGCAGGGAGGCACAAAGCACCCCTTCCCCCAGGAGCATTGCAGGGCTCTGGTCCCTGTCCCTTTCTGGCCATCTGTGCAGGCACAGCTCAGAACCCTGCCTTGCACTAAGCACAGGTAGCACAGATCACTTAAGCTAGATCAACCCTTTTCACCTTGCTCCTGTCCTAAGCAAATCATCTGAACTAAAACCAAAAAGCAACATCAGAACGATCGTAGTTCAACTCATCCACTTTAAGAGACAGTTTGGGTGAACTTGTGCTGGGCCTTAAGCACACAGATCCAACGTCCAAGGATGCAGCCTGGCCCCAGGAGCAGCAAATAAGAGCAGTGTCTGCACCCACCCTCAGTGCCACCTCCACCAGCAGCAGCAGCAGCACACAGGTGTGCAAATGCAGGGCTCTGCTCCATTCTGCTCAGCATTTTGTGTGGATCACTGTGAGCTCTGACACCCTGCAAGTAATGAGGCTGCATGGGATATCAAAGCAAATTAAAGGCAGACCGCAGACACGGCAGCTGCTTCTGCCTTTTTTTTTTTTTTCCTTTTTCTTTTTTTAATATAAATATATTTAAACACTGCCTCTGCCAAAACAAGCTTTGATCTCCCAAGGAAAAAGGGCCAGAACCCTTTGCTGCCTGCACGGCTCAGAACTTTTAATTACTTTGCTAAGCATGAGCTCTCCTCCTAAAGCTGTTTCAAGGCAGGGCAGCGCTCGGATCGTGGGTCATCCATCCTCCTTCCTCCCACACAGCATTGCTGCTTTACATCCCTGTGCTCTGACGGCCAGGCTTAACTCTGATTTACGCCATTGCACGAGCCCTTGTTTGGCCTCTGAAGACTCAGAAATGGTGCAGGCCCTCGTCAAGGATCAGATGCTGCCCAGAGCTCTCCTTAGCCCAGGATTCTTCTTCTACCCAAGGAAAGGCTGTGGTACAATGGAGGTGTGTGACAGCATGGGGGCACATCGGACACCCTGTGGCTGCGTTGGACTCCCCAGGGTGACACTGCCTGGGTCAGGATGTGCCCACGCCAGGAAGCTGTTTGCTTTTCCATTTGCTGGCTCTGCTTCCCCAAACCTCCCTTTACCAGCCCTCATGGCTGGCAGTGGGGCCCTGAGAATGGGAGGATGGAGAACACAGGGCTGGGGATCCCCCTCCACACCCCAGTGGAGGAGGTAGGTATCAACCCATGGGAAGTCCACATCTTTTCCCATTGCCAGAGGCACTGCATGCTCTGTTGGAGCATCCCATCTCCTGGACTCTGCATCCCTGGGGACACTTGAAGACACCCAAGCAGAGGCTGCTGTGACCCAAGAGTGTTGACAGCCTATGAGCTCTGATGCTGGAGGGAAAACAGAAACCTCAAAACAGCTTCACACGCTGCTGTGTGAGGTGAGAAAAGAAAAAAAAAACAAACCCAAACTGATGCTGGTGCTGATCTGTGGGTGAAGCATTCCTGGCCATAGGGAGAAGCCAGGAGATGGGTCAGGTGTATGGCTGAGATTAGGGGCACCGTGGAGATGACTTCTGGGGGTGTTTACATCCCAAGGAACATCCCAGGAACATCACCAGGAGCAGTGTGCACACGGCTGTGGCAGAGGGCTTAGCTCCAACGTGGGGCTGTGGGCAGGGGGCTCCCATACTCTGCTGCATCCCCAGCTCCATGCAGGGCAATCTGATCACAGCACTGCCAAGCACCGGCCCAGCCTCTGCCCAGTGCTCTCAGCCCCAGCACAGCCAACTTTGGCTTTGCCCTGGTTCTTCCCCACCTCTTTCAGGAGAGAGACCGAAAGGCAGAGGACAGGCAGCTGCTGCCCGTGCTGGTTTGCAAAGGAAGTGCTGTGACCAAAGGCTCATTAAAGCAGAAGAAGAGGGAAATTGCCTCTCCAGCAGCTCAGCTGGCACAGCACAGGTAATGAGCCCAGGCTCAGCCAGCCCAGCGCCCAGCAGCCCCAGGGGGTAACAGCAGCAGCAGCTGTCAGCACCCGTGGCTTTATGAGCCTTGCACCATGTTATCCCCACGGCTTCTACACATCTAATTAAGGGCTTGAGTCTAATTATAGCCCCAGCTGTTTGCTGGGGTGCGAGGGGAGGGGTGTGAAGTGATGCTGCTGAGGGCAGCTGGGGTGTCTGCGGGGATCTGAGGAGTGGCATGAGCTGCAGGAGAGAGGAAAGGCAGCTCAAATCAGCCTCTGCATCTCCACTTTGAAGCAGAGCCCATCTCTCCCTGCTGGGACAGGCACAAGTGCCAGGCAGTTACATCACGGCCTCAGCCCCTGCTTGCAGCAATTGTGGCTGCAGGACGAGGGGAAAAAAAAAAAGCACCAGCACGTCCTGAGCAGAGCCCAGAGCACTGACACATGAACCCATGTCAGGGCTGCTTTGGGAGGAGGTGGCAAAGCACACGATGTGATACTGCAGGCACTTTGGCCTCGAACCCGCAGCACTCTGCTCCCCCTGGGGGAATGCAGCCCGGCTCCACCAGGTTTGCTGTCTGCAGCTCTCTGCCTGCCCAGCCTTGCTCTGAACCCGACGCCTTGAATCCTGCACCAGGACAGGAGAAAGCTGTGGGTCCAGCAGGGGGAGGGCATCCCCCACTTTCACACATTCCCCACCTTGACCACAGATGTGTCATCCCCCTGTGCAAACACCTTGCCCTCCTCCTTTCCTTCTGCGGGTATAAATCTCTCTTCAGAGCAGATTTAACTCCTCCATGGGGTAAGCAGCCCAGGCAGTGGGGCAGCAGCTTTCCAGGCTGCTTTCCCAACCCCTTACCCTCATTCCTCTGGTTGTTGAGCTGGTTGAACTGCTCTGTGAACTCCGTCAGCGACTCCTCGATGGTCTCCGTCCGAGGGACTGAGAGTGAGAACCTCCGCTTGAAGTTTTTCATCTTGTTCATTTTACCTCCTGACCTGCAGGGAAGGGGAAAGAAGTGGTTGTAGGGTGGGAAAAGAAAGCTTCCCAAAGTGCTGGGGGGAGCTGGACCAACAGGGGGGGTCCCAAAAAAGGGTGATGCTCCGAGCTCAGCACGCTCCCACTGACTCACATCCTGGGATGTGGGATGTGAGGCACCGGGATCTCCTTAAGCCAGAGATCTGATTAAAGCCATAAAACCCTTAAATGAAGAAAACCCTTAAGGGACACGTGGCACAGCTCACTGAGCAGCCACACGAGCAGCTCGCTCTCGGCATCCCCCACCTTGCTTGCCTGCTTCAGGCTCACACACAGCACCAGGTGGAATCGTACAGTGGGAGCACACAGCCCTGCAGCACCAGCCTTGCTCTCCCCCCATGCATTTTGTAGCACGGTGGAAACACACAGTCCTGCTCCCAGCAAACAGAATGCACCTGCAGACATCAGTGTCTCCCCAACACAGGGAGGTCCCTCCTTGCAGATCCTAACCTTAACCTGCCTGCTGGGCTCTGGGGGGGGGGGCAATAAGGGGGTACTCAGCCCTTGGGACCAAACAGGCACTCCTGCTCCTGGGTGGCCCAATTGCCAGCCCCCAGCCCCCCTCCACCCCAGGCTGGTCAGCACAAACCCTGGTGATTGCATTCCAGACTGATGCGATCAGACACAGCATCACAGAGCCGATGCATCGCGTCGCCAGGGCAACGGGAACACTTGTGTTGACATGCTGGCATCCCAAAGCTTAAAAGATTACCATCAGCAATGCAAACAGTGCTTCGAGGCATGGCCTCCTCCTCCAAATCCTTGGGATTCACCTGGACCACTCAGACTCAGCCACCCCACTCCTCGCACACCTTTAGGGATGCAAAACCCTACAGCCCAAGGATCAGTGTGCCCAGAATCAAGGCAGGATGCATTGCTTGGCTGGGGGTGGGATGAGAGGTGTGAGGCTGTTTGGAGTTGCAAAGTGAGCAAGGAGGATGCTAGGCACATCCATCAGCCAGTTAAATGTTTTCTCAGCACTGCAGGGACCTGCTTTGATGACCAAGATGCTGACATTAATGAATGCTGCACTAACAAAGGATGCTTTTCTCACGGCCTGAAGTTGGAAGGGATCGATGGAGGTCACATCACCCAAGCCCTGCTCAGCACAGCACATCATCCTGGATCACATCCCGACGGTTTTGATGTATCTCCAAGGAAAGAGACTCCACATCCCCTCTGGACAGCCCGATCCAGATTCACCTCACCTTCAGATGGGACTTCCAATGTTTCAGTTTGTGCCCATTTCTCATTGGAGCCCACCAACAGGTGAGTCTGACCCCGTCCTATTGACACCATCCCTTCAGATTCTTGTAGGCATCAACCAGATCCCCCTGAGCCTCATCTCCTCCAGGCAGAACAGATCCTGCCCCTCAGTGAAGGATGCTGCAGCCCCTCCATCACTTCCATGCCCACTGACAGCAATCAGCCCACAGCACTGGGACAAATTCTTGGCAGGGGAACAGCCAGGACAACACACCACACAGCAAGACCTGGAGAATGGGGAAAGTGCTGAGCACCACACAACAACCCACAGCTCCAGGAGCAGGGAAAACACAGGGAATAACCCAGATATTCCACCTGGAGGTGGAGGAAGAAGCGGGTGAGGGAAATGGCTTTTTCCATCTCCTCCCCTCTCTGCTCGTCCTTCTCTGACGGTAGCAAAGCTTTAGAAGACAAACACCTGAGCAATGAACTGATGCTCCAGATCACCCCGAATCCTTCCCTCCCTGCCAGCAGCTGCTAAATATAAACCTCCTCGGAGAGGAAGCAGGGTGGGGTAAAAATAGCAGTGGCTGCATCTCCTGCTATGCGCAGGGCTGCTCCTTATCTTTATGGCTCTGCGTAATTGGCACTGTTTTTTTTCCAGCTTCACCTGGACCTACTTGGCATCTGCTGATGGGGTTCATGGGAAAGGCTTTGACAGATGGAGGCTGCGGGGCTTTTGGTCGAGCTCACCCTGCCCTGGGTGGCCACGAGGTGCCCCAAAGTTGGGATGCGCCTCCCCCCAGTGCACTGCATCCCACATCCCTGCTCCCAGCCCTGCAGGCAGGAGGGCACCCTGACCCCATATGGGATGGGAGGTGGCTTTGTCCCCCCACCAGGGACAACCTGTGACTGTGTTTCCCCTAGGAGAAGGGCAGCCCAGCTGCAGGAGCAGCCCGGCCCTTTCCCACACTATGGATTTCAAAGGAAGAACGGGTTGCCATTGCCTGCATCCCATCAATTTTGGCAGCAGGGCACTAAAGGAAGTGTGGGCACTTTGTGACTTCCTGCAAGAAGGCGATGCTCGCTAAGCAAAGCAATGACATCCCTCGTTTTACAGCCTCAAATCACCCGGGAATTGGAGCAGCCCTGAGCTGCAACCATCCCTGGGATGGGGCGAGGAGGGGAGCAGTGATCTGAAACAGCACGAAGGAATTCAGGCATTAACAGGCAGAAATGAAATCACCCCGGATGGAGGCTGGCCAGGAAGAAAAGCCAGGATGAAAGCCAGCAGCGTGAATGATCTGCATTTGCTGTAACACAGGCAGATAGTAACTAAAACACTTCAAAGGGCCCAAAGCTGCATCCCGTCAGGAAAACGAATCACGTCACTGAGACTGGGTGTGAACAGTTCTTTAAGCACTGCTTTCAAAGCTGTATTTGCTGCACTTGCAGTGATGTGTTCAGCAAAGTGCTCCCCTAGGCACTGGGGATGGGGCTGTACACATGGATCGCTTCTCTTTGTACAGCAAAGCTCTTCAGCTCTCCTCTGTACAACTTCAGAGCCACGTATTTTGGGCACAGCTTCAATATGAAGCTCTCTCCTTCCTCCTTCAGCACACTGCTGGGCTTGCAAGTAACCATTCCTTTCCACAAACAAGGAAACAACTTAGGGGAAATGGTGACTTCTGCTGGCAGAGCCCTGTTTGCTCAGCAAACACCTCTATCATGCAGAGCCACACGTGGCCATGGGGCTGAGCAGACGGCGTGTGCAGGAGCCAGGTGAGGACGTGGCCCTCCTTACCTCACATAGCAAGGCAACAGTCAGCACTGATGCAGTGCAGTGCTGACATGCAGAAAGGTGATGCTGCATGCTTTGCAGCAGCTGGGAATCCAGTGGGGCAGGGAAAGAAAGCAGCCCCCCACCATCTAATGGATTGCTCAGCTGTTGGCGTGGAATCCTCTCCAGGCTGCTCCCACCCTACAGCAGATGCTGCAGAGCAGAGCACAGCCCAGATCCTTCATTCACTGCTCCAGGGGCCAGCACAGCCCTGCACCCTGGGACAGGCAGCAGTCCCTGCCCATCACACAGAGCTCCCAGCTCCTCCCTGCTGCTGAGCTCTGTTGGAGCTCCAGCATTTCCCTTCCCCCACGCAGGGAGCAAAGCCCTGCACCAGGAGGTGGTGGTCCTGCAGGAGGGAAGCACAATCAGTTCCTACCAGCCTGCAGCAGCCCTGCAGCAAGCAGCACAGCCATCATCCCACAGCAGCCACTGTGCTGGACAGAATTGGAAATGGAGCTTTGGGTCCCCAGGGAGTTCATCCATCCACCCTTGTGCTGCAATCTTTTCCTCTCCTGTAATCACAGAAGCCAATACAAGAAATGCAGAGCACCAGGAATGCGATGACGGCAGCCAGGAGTTTTCTGTCCTCTCTTCTCAAAGGAGATTTGGGAGGAGAAATGATCCTGCAGCAAATGCACAAGACTGGCTTCCAATCCAGCTCACAGCGTGCATTGCTTTGCCCTCAGTGTAAATAATGGTGATGCATCCTTCCTCCCTTCTCCTTGGCGATGGGACTCTTGTGGGATGCAAAGCTGCTCTGCTTGCAGCTCCACTCCCATTTGTCTCCATCCCAACAAGGAGCCCAGTAATGAGGGCACACAGAGGGGTTTGTTCCACTCCTGCCACACCACAGCCCTGCGTGATGCTCTCAGCTCTGCCCGGCCCGTGGTGAGATCAGGGCAGCTCCCAGGAAGGCACCAGAACAACCCACATTATTCCAGCTGCCACAAAACACTGCGTGTTTATTCCTTGCTGGAGCAAAACCTGAGAGCAGTGTCCAGCATTGGGCTGCAGCCACAACAGAGTGCCAGTGGCCTGCGTGCACTGCAGCATCTCAATGCTCTCGCTGTGTTGGAAGGTGCCAGCAGCCCTATGGTACTGCCCCTGCCCCACAGATCAGCACATCCCATCCTCCGACAGACCAAGCGCTGCTGCAGGGTATTGAGTTATCCTCCCCCATCTTCTGTGACTCTGTTTCTCCATTCAGCCTTTCAGGAGCACCAGGACGCACAGCATGGACGTGGAAAAAGGGCACAGACCATGGGGGTGAAGGATGCTCAGGGAGCACCAAGCTTCTGAGGAACCCTATGGGAGAAGATCCCTTGCATTAGGGCACACCTGCATTCCCTCCCCAAAGGGTGCATAGGGTCTGCTGGCTTCTTAATTACCATTTCCTTATTCTCTTCTTTTTTTTTTCCCCCTCTTCTTCCTTAATTAGAGCTTTCCCTCCTTTCTCAGCCCACACACAACTCCCAGAGCTCCTGGAAAGCAGCACAGGGGGAGCAGGGGAAGCCTTCCCTGCCTAACAGAGAACACTGCAGCTTCCTTCCCATGACCCACGGCCTCATCATTGGGGAGGGGGCTCAGAGCTGCTGCCCCTGCAGCTGTGCAGGGAATGGCTGCAAGCATTCTGAGAGGGGTTATTTAGGGAAGCAGCAAACACACCCTGCACACCCGATAACCGCGTGGAATTTGAGAAATGCGGCCACCTCTGGCACAAGGAGAAACGGGGAGGGAGGGGGGGACAGAAAGGAGCAGCAACAAATAGGTGGAGGGCTGAAGGAAGGGTCGGATCCCTGCAAAAAGCCATGCAAAGGGCCCATGCTGTTACAGGATCTCTCTTCCCAGAGAAACGGCTTGAACACAAACAGAAGCGCAGCGTTTCTAAGAAGCACCACCAGCGCCCAAAGC